AAGGACCTCTCTCTTTTCCGTGACAAAAATGAGAATTTGTCAGCCATTGGGATGAAAGCAAAAAAAGAGGCCATTATTTTGGGGTAGGCCGCTTCTTTACGTCTTGCAAATTGTGCCTTCGGGGCCGACTGCGGAGATCACAACTCAACCAAGGTAGGATTGGGGGTGGGGGGGGGGAAAGGAGGTTGAGAAATATCTGGAGGTCTCCACACAAACGGGAACCTGCCGGTTCTGAAATGGGTCGGTGGGTGGGTGAAAGAAGCCGGACGGGCCACCTCGTGCTGGAAGAGCAGCAGGGATGGCGAAGGTAGGTGTCAGGGCCTTCTCTGGGTGACGGGTTGGGAAGAGAAGAACCTCCAGTGGGCCAGGTTGAGAAGGAGACATTGTTGGGTGCATTGGTCTTTTTATTTTTTTATTTTTTACGAGCAACGTAGAAAGAGGAAGGAAGGGGCAGGCAAGGAGAGGAACAGGGTAGAGAGAGAGAGAAAAAAAAAAAAAGAGGGAACCAAGGCGAGATAGGTAAAAAGCAAAGGAAGAGAGGAATTCAGCAGAGACTGGGAGAAGAAGATCCCCCAAAACACCCACTTGGACACCTGGAGACTTGGCGACCACTGAGACGAGAACAAAGACGAGACAATCCCGCCCTCCGTGGTCCAGAAGAAGACTCATCCGGGAGGAAGAGAGAGAAATAACGACCTCCAACGAAGGAGGCAGATAATCAAGGAGACTTCGAAAGAGGAGAAGTCCATTCGAGATAAGGCGCCCGTAAAGACGTGGGTTGCAGCCTTCATAAGGTCGGGGAGAAAGAGGAACTGGTGTTAGGTATTCCACGATGTCCCAAGGAGGATACTTTGAGGGTGAGAGGCACTACCAAGCTCTAGAGATGGCTCCCGCCAGGCCCACCGGCAGTGACTTGGCCCCTTTGTGCGAAGCGGAGTTGGCCTCCTACATCGGGGATGAGCAGCTGCTTACGGAGCTGCTGCAAGGCAACCAGCAGAGGCTGGCCAAGGGGACCTCCTTCCCAAGCTACTTCCCCACCGACCCGTACCCCTTCCTCTCTTTCGGAGGGGAGCGCAAGGGCCTGCCTGCCTTTGACCCACGATCGGTGGCTGTCAAGGAAGAACCACGAGGTGGAGAGGCTGGGCGAGGGGCCGCACGTCACCCCTACAGCGCGGTGCACTTGCCAGCTGCCCACTGTGCTCAGGTGACCCTCACCCAACCGGGACTACGGACTGGACAAGCTCTGAGAGTGCTCAAGGTAAGGATGGAGAAGACCTTTCCTGTTACCCTCCTCTAGCCTGGAAACCTCCGAATTCTACCCACCAACAAGAAACAGCGGATGGAGCAGGGGAGACATGATTGCCAGTGTTCCAATATTTGAGGCGCTGCCCCCAAAGAAGAGGCAGTCAAGTTATTCTCCAAAGCACCTGAAAGGAGGACGAGAAGCAACGGATGGAAGCTCATCAAGGAGAGAAGCAACCTAGAATTAAGGAGAAACTCCCTAACAGAGAGGACAATTAACCTGTGGAACAGCTTGTCACCAGAAGTCGTGGGCCCTTCATCACTGGAGGTTTTTAAGAAGAGACTGGACAGTCACTGGTCCAAAATGGGATAGGGTCTCCTGCTTGAGCAGGGGGTTGGACTAGAAGACCTCCAAGATCCCTTCCAGCTCTATTCTGATTGATGTTGGTTCCTACCGTTGACCTCCTACCTAGAATATTATCACTGCAAGTAGAAAGTGTCTAAAACTCAGTTATACAGCCACGGTCCTCTTTACCCTGGAGAACAGAACAGAAACACAGAGTTGGATGGGACCTTGGAGGTCTTCTAGTCCAACCCCTTGCTCAAGCAGGAGACCCTAAACCGTTGTCCAGTCTCTTCTTAAAAACCTCCAGGGTTGGAGCACCCATAATTTCTGAAGACAAGCCATTCCACTGGTTAATTGCTCTAACAGTCAGGAAATTTCTCCTTAGTTCTAAGTTGCTTCTCTCCTTGATTAGTTTCCACCCGTTGCTTCTTGTCCTGCCTTCAGGAGCTTTGGAGAATAGTTTAATTCCCTCTTCTTTGTGGCAGCCCCTCAAATATGGGAAGACTGCTATGGTGTCACCTCTAGTCTTTGATTTTCATTAAACTAGACATTCCCAATTCCAACAACCGTTCTTCATGTGCTTCAGCCTCCAGCCTCCTAATCATCTTGGTTGCTCTTCTCTGCACTTGCAAAGTTTGACCCACTGATATCCCAACACCACTGGTTTCATGGAGAAGGATTGAAAGAAGACCTTATATCCTAAGCTGTTGACGATCCATAACTGGACATGAGAAGAAGGAAGAATGGAGGCAAGAAAGATTAAACTCGTGTTTACCAATGCTGGAAACTTTAAGACAGGTGGACTTCAACGCCCAGAATTCTGGGAATTGAAGTCCACCCATCTTAAAGTTTTCAAGGTTGAGAAACACCGGATTAAAGAGTTAATTTAGAGGAGATAGCTTTTTCTAGAATGGGTAGCAAAAGCAAATATTTAATAGAAAAAGGGCATTTTGAGGAGACCTGAGTCCTGACCTGTCTGGGTTATTTTTTCAGAATCCCTGTTTTTAATTTCTTTCCCTAACAATCCAGATTTTGTAATGTCCCCATTTTAGAAATCCAGTCTCATTTTAACCTGGGTTTGACTTCCAACCCTGCAAAATTCTTATTTTTAATATTTGCCCACTGCTCTCTCTCTCTGTGTGGGGCTCCCCAGTCTTTCTCCCCTTCATCAAAGGAGCCCCAGAAACCATGACTGAGATAAAACCATCACGGCTCTGTTATGGTTTCTAAAGATAGGTCAGCCATGCCAAAATTAAGCAGAAAAACGTAACACGAAGACCTATTAAGAAAACTGGAGGTGTGGTGTGTGCAAGTCATTAAGTTTACAAGATCAGGTAAATGCTAGGAAGAACTCCTAGAAGCAAATCTTGACAACACTCACACAAAGATGGCTTGTTCGTGGCTTGGCGTGATGGTGGACTTTGGCATCATGGTGGAACCTCAACAGTTTGTCTTGATCACCGTAGATCAAAGCTTGACATGACAGTGGCGTCTAACAATCCATAATTACCTCAATCATGGCTTATCATGGCAGGTGAAGAGACCCATGATGGCTGATATCAAAAGGATATCTCCAACTTCAGGTCTTAGATGAAATTCTCAGGAACTTCTCTATAATTTCTCAAGAACTTCAAGAACACAGCTTTACCCAATCTCATCTGATAAAACCATGAAAAGAGGGATTTTCTCATTTATTTTGAGGGCCACCTTATAGATGAGATGAGACATGGGGTATATATAATTGTGGAAATAGGGGGACCAAGGGGAATTAGAGTTAGGGTCCCTAATGCACCCCAACTTGAAGAACCCTCCTTGTATAGCCCCCAAACTGAGCTGTTTCTGCAAGCGCTTTGAAGTTTGTAAAGGTGGAATCGGTCCTTCAGCAGGGAAAAGTTGGTCAATTATGGGATTTTCCAACACAATTCCTCCCCCTCCCCTTTTTTTCTGGATTAATTATTACTTCAGCCGTGGTTACGATTTTCCATTTTGGGAACCTGGGAATGAGCCACGGGAGGTGCTCACAAGGACGGAAGATAAATAAACCCGTCAAATATTTTGTGCCGTAGTCTAAAGGCAATGATTGTGTAGATCAAACACACAGAAGGATGCAGTTTCGGATGTGATTTTATACAGATGGAAGGGGGGAAACAGTGGGCTGCAAACTCGGTGAAGCTTCAAGGCGAGAGAGAGAGCTCGTGTTCAGGAAAAATATTCAAAACCCTTTTGCAGAAGATCTAAAGACCTTATGAAAATATTTATAGGAAGTTTTGCAGGGCTGCTTTTCATCCAAAAGGCTGAGCAGGGCGATTGGCCCTCGCTAAAATCCAGGACAATAGAAGGAAACTCGACCATTCCCACAGGAATTAAGAAGTTCAGTCCCACATACGTGAAATTGTGGCCTTCGGACCAGGGGGACTTTTATGCTGGCCTGAGATAAATATAATTTCAGCAACTGTCAGAGGAAGAAAATGCCCCTCTGATTGATAATAATATATAACGAATATTTATTTATTAGAATTTATCAAACAAAAAATGAGAACAAGAATAAAAGAATAAAAATACAATGACAGGGATGATAGGCGCAGCAAATGGTAGTCCAATCTCTTCTTCAAAACCTCAGTGTTGGGGTGCCCACAACTTCTGGTGGCAAGCAGTTCCACTGATGAATTGTTCTTGCTGTTAAAGAAATTCCTCCTTAATTCCAGGTTGCTTCTCTCCTTGGTTAGTTTCCATCCGTTGCTTCTTGTCCTGCCTTCAGGTGCTTTGGAGAATAGCTTGACTCCCTCTTCTTTGGGGCAGCCCCTCAAATATATGAAGACTGCTATCATGTCACCCCTGGTCCTTCCTTTTCCTTAAACTAGGCATCCCTAAGTCCTGGAACCAAGATATTTTTTCCCATTTAGGTTGAGTTGCTGTTTAGGAGATGTACTTTCAACAGATTCTTATTTATTTTTTTTACATCTGTACTCTTTCTCATTTCAACTCTGGAGGTTTTGAGAAATGGACCAAACAACCATTTGAGCAGGGTGGCGTAAGATCTCCTGCCTTGAGCAGCGGGGTGGACTAGACCATCTCTGGGGTCCTTAGAATTCTTGGTTCTGTGTTCTCATCCTTTCCACTCTTTTAGCTCTTCTCCTAAATTTGGAGAAATCCGGGATTGATTGATTGATTGATTTGTTTGTTTGTTTGTTTATTTATTTCGGAGAGGAGAGGGTTAAAAGTGCAATTAATTTCCTCGTGGTTTTACTGACTACATAACCATCGTTTGAAATGAAACCATTCAAACATCTTTCACACAGAACGCGTCTGTCAGCTTTGGGCCCTGGATCAAATCTGAAATCCACCCTTTAAAAAAAAAAAAAACTTTAACTTTTTCCAACTGAGTTTTTTTTAAAAAAAAAAGAAAAGAAAAAAAGAAATGGTTTTGTATTCCTGAAACGTTCGTTTGAACAAAAAGTATTTGGTGGAGCCCCAAATTCTCCTCTCCAAATTTCTGGAAGAAGCGACGGTTTCCTTTTCCATACGCTTTGTTTTCTTTAATTTAACCCCCCCCCCGGAGGATGGGGGGAGAAAATCTGCTGGGGGGGGGCTGGGAACCACAATTAAATGGGATGGGGTGGGGAACGGGGGCTGTAACAGGTAGGTGAACAAGAAAAAATAGAAACCTGATAGCAGGAAAAAAAAAAACCAGTGGTCCTTTGAGTCTGTCCTTTAAGTTATTGCTTGTTTTTGTTATTAATTAATTAATCTATTTATTTAAATTATTAGGTTTTTTTTTCTTTCATCCTTTTTTACTTTTTTATTTTACTTTTAATTAATTAATTAATTCATTAATGTTTAATGCAAAGGCCAGGTCAGAAACTTGGACAGCTGCATTTTTTTTCAGCTGCATTTGAGTTAAACTAACTGCCCTTTGAGTTAAACTAACTCAACAACAGGCAAGGGGAGGATTTCAGGAAGATTTTAATCTAAGAAGGCAGAGAAGCAAGAATCTGAAAGCCTCTCCAATTTTTGTAGGCTAAATAAAATCAAGGTATGGTTTTCTTGAGTTTCCTTCTCACCTCTTCTTCTTCCTCGGGACGAGGAATCTTTTCTGCACGTCTCTCCTTAACAGCTTTCTTGTTCCTTTCCTATCTCTTGTGGTTGGATCAACTGTACATTCCTTCACAGGGAGCCTCACTTCCCCTCCCTGAATAACGAAGTTGGAAGGGACCTTGGAGGTCTTCTAGTCCAACCCCCTGGTCAGGCAGGAACCCCTGTACCAATCCAGACCAATCGTTGTCCAATCTCTTCTTAAAAGTCTTTAAAATCTCCAGGGATGGAGCACCCACGTATTGCTGGTGGCGAGCCGTTCCACAGATTAATTGTTCAAACTCTTGGGAAATTCATTGTCGGTTGCTCATCTCCTTTTTT